TTAGCCACAAACTTTATGCTAGCATCACATGGATATAACCAACTTTTATGAAAATGTATGCTGTGTGCATTCACAGAAACATTGTGATGTCTGAAACATAGGGAGGAAATAACTACATTAGTGAAGCATTACTAATATTGTAATGGCAGGCTTTTCTAGTATTTTGTAGCCCTGGATGGATGAATGATGGACAGATGGATAAGCAGTGGTGTGAAAAACACACACATTTGTTACTTAAAAGTATTAACTTGACCTCTTTACTCAAGTAAAAGTGAAAAGGTATGTGCTCCAAAAACTACTTAAAGTATAAAACTATAAACTAACCTTTACAAAAAAACAGCCAGATGCCACTGTATGAATTGAAAGCTCAATATTTGACAAATTTTAAAAATTCTTTAAGATAGGGCCAAGGATGAGGGAGGTCTTGTTGGTCTTCGTCTCCCGATAGGCCCTCGCCTGTGTCCGACCTTTCAGACATTTCAACATATTTTTCTGAATCCGACATTGTAGCATGGCATAGACAATTCATGTTTACAGTTTGAAGAACACCTGCTTGCTTCTGATGATTTCCTTTACCTAACCAAAAAATGTTTGCGTTATACGACTCATCCAATTACACTGGTTTTCACTAGATGTGGAAGGAGCCAATGATCTGCATTGGATGGCGCACATGACGTGAAATAAAAATGTATAAACATAAAACCGAAGCCAAGAGTAACAAGTAACGTTTGTTTTAAAAATTAAGGAATAGAAAGTACAGATACTTGTGTGAAAATGTAATGAGTAGAAGTCAGAAGTAGGAGGAAAAATAAGTAATGGAGTAAAGTATAGATACCTAAAACATGTACTTAAGTACAGTAACGAAGTATTGGTACTTTGTTACTTGACACCTCTGTGGATAGGTGGATGAATTTGGATAGATGGATCATTGAAAAGGAAATAGAGATGGTGGACAAAGGCAGGAATTTATGCATAGATCCAAACTTTAGGACAGTTGGACATGATTTGCAATACAAGACAATGCATCAAGAAGGGAAAAAGGGATGCAACAGAAACACACTCACCTAAAAGTAGTAGTCTGTGTGTTGCTCGGTAGATCTGTTTGTCCTTCTGGAGCTGCTGCTCAATCTTTTTGTTTGCTTCTCTTTGTGCCTTCTCCTCATTTCTCTGGTCTTCAGTCTTACTATTACCCAAACAACCCATCTTCCCTCAAGAAATAAAAAGAAAAGCAATATGGGGGGAGTTGGGGAGGAGGAGGGAGGGTTCCAGGGAGGAGGAAGAGGAGCACTGAAGGGAGGGGGAGTATGAAGAAAGGAAAATAAACAGGTAATAGTTGTCTAGGTCCCTGGTTTGACCCTCGGATTTGGCAGCAATGTGACCCACATTTACTCAGTTACTGTTTGGAAAACAATGCTGTGCGGATAAAGAGTCTTTTGCTGTCAGAAGAAGAAAATAAAGGGCAGGATCCTGCTGCTGCTGCTGGAGGCCGCCTGACCCCCTCCCACCCCCACCCCACACATTCAACTCCACTTTGCTCCTTATTAACTCTCCCTCCTCCCCCCGCTCCCGCCCCCCGAAAAGATAGGTTTTAATTAGAATCCACGGCGTGTCGCTATGACGCCAAAAAGCGAGATTTCACCTCGAACGGAGGCAGCGAAACGAGCCTAAACAGCATCTCCGTGAAGCCGGGGTCTCGCGTCTCACTGCTGCCCGCCACAGGGAGCTGAGCTCGGCGTGTCCGAAAGCCTCGGCCGGGCTGAGGCGGTGCTCGTCCCCGCGTCGTCTTTGGCCACAAACATGTCCACTTCCACCGTTTGAGTGTTTATTATAATTGTCTTTTAGTCGGGTAGCCACCTAGCGAACGGGGAAATTATATGTAACTAGCTACATGTATGATCTTCTTCTTCCGTCGTCCTCCGGCTCCTTCTCCGCATCAAATCAAGCTCCAAACTCGCTGCGGTTGTCTTTCTGTCGCCACCTCCAGGAGCCCCCCCAATTTGTCCTCCTTATTTGTGATGGCTGGCTATTCCTTGCTGTATTTTCTCTCTTTTTTCCCCCTCCCTCTCTTTTGTTGCAGAAATGTGTTATCAGTCCTTCACATCACCACAGAGTCTCCAGAAAACTGCGCACGGACAGCCTGTTTATTCCTTCATTTAATGGAAGCTCCAGGTGAATCCTTCAACGAGAGAAAAAACATTTTTAGAAAAGGAAGAAGAGAATCCCTCGAAATGTATCCACGTTTTTTGCAGGTTAAAAAAAAGAGAGAAATAAATGAACCCCCGCTATCAGGCTTCACTTTTTAACGCGGCCTCTAAATGTTTACACACCCACAGACTATCACATAAACAGATATTTACAGAACCCCCCCTCCTCCTCCTCCTCTGGGGGTAAACACGCCACAGGATTGACACTCTTACATGTGAATTTACATTAAGGAAAAAAATAGGACGCGATGCTATCGAAGCAGTGAATTCCCACCGTGAAAGGCCGCTCCTCTCCGGGGGAAGGGGGCCGCCGCCGCGCGCTGGACGAAGGAGGTGATACACGGTTCTAGAAGCGAGTCCTCAGGAGGGAGTTGTTATTATTTTCTTCCTTTCTCTTCCTCCGAGAAGAGTAGGCTACATTGAAGAGGCAGACGGCGCTGAGGGTGGGGCCACACGGCGCTCATTGAACCCTGGGAAGGAAGGAAGGAAGGAAGGACCGAGAGGCCATATGCGACTGGTCACGTGGTCAGGGCGCGGAGCTGCGTCAGCCGCGCGGCGGCCTCTTCGAAGAAAAAGGGGACCGCAACTTTTTGTTCTAAAGAGTGTTGAAACAGTAACCCATTTGTTTTGGAATTGCACTTTTGTTCAAAATCTGTGGTCTGACATTTGTACGTTTATTGCAGAACAAATTGAGAGGGACTTAAAGTTATTTTGGAAGGATGTCCTTTTTGGACTTTATGACCTCAACAGTACTTAGACTAGACCAAATGAAACTTTCATTATTAATCTGATTATTCTCTTGGCAAAATTTTACATTCATAAATGTAAGTTTGCACATTCCAAAATATCTTTTATTGCTTTTAACAATGAGGTCAAGCAATATGTCAACACAATTAAGTATTCTCTTAATCAAAAGGCAACAAAATCTATAAATGTTTGTAAACAATTTAATATCTTTTTATAAATTTGTACTTTCCCTGGCAAAATGTGATGATGTAAATCTTCTTTTTATTTTGTTGTTTTATGTTAAAACACCAGCAATGTTGGATACTGCACAGTGTATTATTTTCACAATGGAGAGGAATGTTCATGTATTCATGTAAACTGTGCAATTGTTGAATAAAAAAAAAAGAAAAGAAAAAAGGGACTGCAGTTTCAATAAATCAATCAATCAGAGCCTTATTTCAAATGAACATTAAAGTGATACCTTATGCAATCTCACACTGGGGAAGATTCTTAGATTACATCAACTGGAAAGAAGTCTGGCTGCTTCCAAATTAATATTTGATAAACAACAAAACTAAAGAAATCTCATTTAAGATAATCCATAACATTTATCCTACCAAAGTCTTTATCTAGAAACACTTTAAAAAACACATTGATGTCACTTGCAGCTTCTGCTGTAGTAATCCTGAAACACTTGTTCATCTATTCTGGAACTGCCCACTTATCCAGTCCTTCTGGTATGACATTTATTACTTAATTAAGAGAAAAATAGACAAAGATTTTCTTTTATTTTGGAAGACTATTCTATTCGGCATTAAGGGAAATTGCAAGGTTCAACCAAAGAGATCAGATAAGGTATATGTAATTGACTTGATTATTATTATGGCCAAGTTCTTTATACATAAATGTAAATATAGAGGCTCCAAACCGTGCATTACTGCTTTTAAGCATGAACTCAAACAATACATTGACAAAACTCAAGAAGCTGTTGTCCTTTTTAATCTTCGTATTTAGACAGCTGTTTCCCCCTAGTGTTTACTTTTATTTAATAGATGTACTATTTTATTTTATTTATTTTTTTTGTTGTTTTTTTTTCCTTACTGTTTCTTGTTTTGCACAAAACAAGGACATTTACTTGACTGGTAAACATCTTTACAACTTTTGAAAATATCTGTAAAAAATGGTTGTTAAGAATACCTATAGTGCAATATGGTTGTTCTGTAATGTTCTTTGCAGAAACAAATAAAATTGTACTGGGAAAAAAGAAAAAAAAAAAGAATGGGACCTGATATAACGATACATTAAAGAGAAAAATACTTTTTTTTTGTAGAATCGATACAATTTAGTGAAACTGATGCTCATGACTATGATTTAAATCTCTTTTTACTTTTAATACCTCACCAAAAAAGTAGAAAAAAGTAAAATAAAAATCCTCGGTGCACATGCTTTCCAATTCTTATATGTCTATCTGTCAATCTTCCATCATTTGCACAAGCTGTTCTAAACAGGGACCAACAGGGGCACTGCCCTATGAACTTAAGACATAATACTAAAAGAATTAGGAAAAAAAAAAAGAATAACTCCAACTTGTTTCAACTGAATTGATCACTTTTACTTAAGTTCTAATTCTGTTTTGATTAAAACTGGTGATTATCATTTAAAATAAGTCAAAAATATGTTTCGTTCTTGAATTGTGAGTGAATGTTGAGCAAATATTCCAAATAATAGTTTAATTTTATCTTTCAGTTGATGTTTATTAAACAACTAACTATTTTACATGCTCTTTTTCTTCCATGATAAGATTTTTATTTTTTTTTATTTTACGTAAATGAATTTAAAATTTTCGAGCCAAATCTACACATTTTCAGTTGGTATAATATTACATTTCATTAAACTCATTGAGAAACTTCATTCTATTTGATGCGGAGACACAATTGGCTCTTTGGTTCTGTGGCTCTCTTGATATATTTGAAAATTTTTTAAAAATATTGTACTTTTTTAATGCTTTTCTGTGCCCCCATGAAAACACATGGCCCCCTCTAGAAAATATGTTCTAGAACCGCTATGAGAAGTCATTGACCTCTCATTCAGGGTCAAGGGGGGCTGGGGCAGAAATGTATGGGTGAAAGGAAGAGTTCAACCTAGACAGCTTGCTAACCCAATGTAACAAATCCTATGGTTCAATTCTTATTTATTAGCAAGGAGCTATACTTTTTTTTATTACAATCTTTATATTGGTAAATATTTAACTAAATTGTTGTTGTTGTTTTTTTATACAACCAAGTCAAATCTAAAGACAATAAATCTGTGATTAAAGCCTAACTTGAGTTGGTCCACACCTTTGCATGCTACTGACTACATACCTATGACTGAGCAGAGAGGTTTTCAGTAGTTATATTGTTGTTTTTCCTCTTTATTTTTGTATATTTGTTTTATTTCATTGTTTTCTTAAATGGTTATTCTTTTATTAAATAATGTTTTCTCTTTTTTTATGAAGTGTTATTTTTTTTATTTTATTTTTTTTTTATTATTTTGAATTGTGCTTTGATTAAAAAATATTTGAATCCTTGACAAGTGAATCTTTTCCCCTCCTAACTATAAGAATACAATCAAATGTGAAGTTGTGTACTGATGTTGTTAATTTCTTTTAACACTAGAGGGCAGCATTCTCCAAGATGGAGGCTCATAGATAGTTTCCCTCCTTAAAATATTCTACTCAGGTTTTTATTCATTTTTCAAGTCTGATAAAATGATTTGATTATTAAAATATAAAGAGACTTTGCAAGGATTAGGATTGTCTTAGCATTACATATTAAATATATAAACATAAAGCTATCACTGCATTTGTTTTGTTTTTTTTCTGAGACAGTTTTGTTCAAACGTTTCCACACCCCTTTAACACTTTTTAAACATATTTTTTCATCTGACAATAAACTTTAATGTAATTTAGCCCACTGCAAGCCCACTGGACTTGCTGATATGCTATGGATCATTTCCCCACAGCTAAACCCAAGTACACTTGAGCTCAAGATCGCAACCCAATGGCCAGTTAATCTTCACCAGGACTTTCTGTTTTAGAGCCGAATTAATGTTTCTATCAATTATGGGATGCTATCCAGCAGAAAAGCAGATCCAGATCATCACACTACCACATAAACGTTGACCATCGATCTGATGTTCTATTCTTAGAATGATGTGTGCAGGAAATATGACCTTTGCACTTTAAATTATTGGTTCTCAACAAAATACAAAAGTATCTTTTCAATTCAGTTATTTCTTATTTGAATATAGTCTTAATTCAAGAAAGCTTGTTAATTGAAATGATTGCATGACCAAATGTTTTCACTTGTTTCAAGACCCTAAACCCTGCATTAGTATATACATTTTTTGCGTTGTGAAAAGTGCCTCTTTTGTCTCATCAACCCTGGAAAGACTTTTCTAATAGTCTTGAGAATCACCATTGTTGCTTTTGGTTCTGGTAGTCCACCTATTCCAAATAAGAAAGTTTTCTCTACTTGTGGATCAAGACTTCATATTCGTCAGGAGCCTGACAGGAATGCTTTATATATTAATGTAGGTCAAAACTGTTGATTCTGACCTATTTTTAAATTTCTTTTGATTAAGGCTAAATGTGTTGCCTTTTCAGGCTTATAAGCCTACTTTATATGCAAACAGTTTCTATTCAAACTTTTTAGGACTGGAGTGATGAGGCTTACTGTAGGTTTAGGAACATTTCCTCTTAAATGTAAAAGGTGGTTTCTGTAGCTTTTTGTATTTACTTTGGATATCTTTAAGTTTTATTGAAAAATGTTTGATGTTTATAAATAGATAAATTAATAAAATGCATCAAAACAACAAAAGAAAAAAAATCTAGCAAGCCCTAAATAACAGAAAAAAATATTTTTTTTCACCTCACTATCTCCCCAAGCTGAAGCCATGGATTACTAATTAAATGTTTCTGTAAAGTTTGACTAAATCAAAGAAAGAATGGTTTAAATGATAAAACAGCTCTGTTATTCTCCTAAATAAACTGAGATAGGTTTATTTTGACGATTATGCTGCTTTAAGATATGTTTGATTTGATTTGACATCATTTTGACACAAAGGAAGTGTTTCTTCAATGTATTTCAAAAAACATAGATAAACACTAATACCTCTGTATATCTTAATTATAACCTGTATGTCTTTTTTCTGTGTTCAACAAATGTCTCGAGCAACATATCAGTATTTAAAAATGACCCCAACAAACCTCAAAGTAGTCTATCCATCCTCAAATATAAAATGTTGATCTTACTTACAACTTTAACAAACACAATTACATTAAGCAAAAGCAAAGAAAAGAAATCAAGATAAATGAGAAAAAAAAACGGAAAAAAAAAACAGCAACACTATGCGCTTCTTCTACTTGGCCGAAAATTTCTGCTATTGATTGTCTCAGCCTTCACACACTGATCATTCCTCTGTAGTCACACCAGAGCTTTAATGGCCTCGCAGCCATGAATATTAGATATACTTCCCTTCACCCGACAGTACAAATATGATGAGCCAGCCTGAGAGGGGGGCATAAGGGAAAAAAATACAGCCGTAGACTAAAGGATAAAATCTTATTTTCAAAATAAATGAAGAAAATGATGCATTTATGTACTTAGAAGCACCAAATATTTTTCATAAATAGCACTCATAACAGATTGTGGATAATTCTGCACCTTTAGATGCTTATAGTTAATGGTAGAAGCAGATTATTCTCCATCAGGTAGAAACAGAGGCTAACCTCACCTCCTATGTGAGATTAGCTGCATTATGAGTAGAAGAGATGCACATTATATGAGGGATGTGAGGGAGGGAGTAGAGGGTGTGACAGAGACGCGAGCAAAGGGAGTCCACATCTCTTCAGGAATCATAAAGTCAAGGTTTTCTTCTCTCGGTGCTGCTTGTTACTAGACTCACATCTGACTTTTCCTGTTGCTATTTGAGGTGTTGAAGTAAAAAAAAAAAAGCTGTGTTAGACAATGTTTTGATAGCTTTTTTTTTTTTTTTGCTGAGAAATGAGTGAGCCGGTCAGATTGTCTGTCCTCCCATCTGGGGCATTTATTTGATGAGCGACTGTGACTGAAGGAAAGCACAGAAGTCTCTGAAAGCAGCATGGCCGGGGATCTGGTGGTTGGGATACTTTATAACTTATTACTCCCTCTGCTTTTGCTGACAGGTGAGTATTTTGTTTTCTAAATGCCGACTTTATGGCTGTTAGAGGCTTTTACCTACAGTTTTGGTCAGGTTGAGATTTGGGGGCCTCTTGATGCTACATGCTCGGACAAATAAAGATCTCTGTGTAATGTGATAGAAAGGAATTAAGCCTTGAGGTTTTAAGAAAATGCAAAAAGATTAAGGGAAAGTTTATAATGGAAAAAGAGCAGAAAGTGGAACTTCCTGGTTTTGGATAAACTTTATCAAGCTTCTGTTGTTTTTCTGAGGCGCTTTAGATTGCATGTATTAAATCTAATACATGCAAGCTGTTAAGTTTTTTAGCGATTGTTTGATTTTATGCTAATCCACTCACTCTATTCTATTTAATTTCCCTATGGGCTTAATAAAGTATTTTTGAACTGGTAAAGGTGAAAGTTTTTCTGCAGCCAGAAATAATTCAGTATCACATATGTCATCCATAACAACATCCATAACTTCTTAGTTTTACTTTACTTTTTGTAAAGCACACTTTTTTTCTTTTTTTATTAGTTTATTTTTTTTTATACTTTACTAAACCTTTTAATCTGTATCCGGTTTATAGCATTTTGCAGCCATTTGGTCCTTCGTAGGTGTTTCTAAATGTGCTATACAAACAAATCTGACTTTCAAACACATTAATATTATTTGGAAATAACTAAACAGAGAACATTACAGATATTTTTCTTTACAAGAGAGGATGACACCATGAATAGCACATAAAAAAATAAATGGGAAGAGAAATCATAAAATCCTATTTGATTGGCTAAATTAAACTGTTTCTATCCACCTTATTGCTTTTGTTTGTTTTTCTCCTCAGCATCCTGTTTTCGCTATAATGGCCTCTCGGTGGTGTACTTTGTGTTCCTGCTCACTGTACCACTGCTACCGAAACCCAGCCTGGCCACCTTAAAAGGTCAGAGAATCTCCAGGACAGAAGTTCTCTTTTTTTTAAATCAAACATTATTGTCAGTGTCTTATATTTTTGTCAGATTTTTAGTTTGTTAAACAAAGTAATGTCAACATGCTCCAACAAATTGTTGCACTAAGATCCATGCATATTTCTGGTGATAAAGGCTGCAAATCCAGCATTTACTTTAAAATATTAAATCTAAATGTTGCCTATTTAAATTAAGTTATTCAATTACATGCCTTAAAGCAGATTCTGTTTTTAAAGTTTAAACCGAATTTTGAATAATATTTTCCATCATTTATTGTCTCAGAGCTGCAGATGGAACCCTCTTGCCTCTTTTGCATCCAGTAAAGCATTGTCTTCCAATAATTTGGTTCAACAGTAATCAGTAGGGTGTGTCCAACTTAACAAGAAATATAAACAAGCTTGATTAGAGTAATAATAAGAAATATCAATTCCCATTTAGAGCTTTGGTTTTTGTGTATATTTAGGATAAAATATCTTGCTATATCTACACATTTACTTTAAACTTAGTGCGGATTTTTAATAATGTTACTTTTAAAAGGTCTTTCACGTTTATGTTTCCTTGTTAAACAAGCTCCACGTCTTTATACACTGTTTAGGCTTTTACTGGCTGATGATTTCAATTCTGTTGCTTATATAGATACCTTTTCTGAAATGTTTTTCCTCAAAATCATGTGAGTTACTGATGGTGCTTTCAATAAAAAATTGGAAATCTAAATGTTAAACTTTTAGCCTGTGATGGAAAAGGAAACCTTAAATAATTTTAGTCAAAAAGGATGTTTATTTTTCTTGATAAACCTTAAGTTCCAGTAAGTATCTATCCATCCATCCATCCATCCATCCATCCATCCATCCATCCATCCATCCATCCATCCATCCATCCATCCATCCATCCATCCATCCATCATTCAAATGGGAGGTTAAAGTGCTCAATTTTATTTTCATTCGCAAAACTTAAGTCATCTACACACCCACTGAGCAGTAATACTGCTCAGTAGCAAAAAGCACCACACACTTCACATCAAGCTAACTGTTTTAAACTTTTTGGTCATCATACTCCCTAGTTGCAAGGTAATAAAGATTGTATAAAGCTTTTCCTTATGAAGTCAGACATGAGCGAGTAGGTCATGCATGTTCAGCACATCGATCCCTACAAACAGATGAATTAAAGCATCCCCTCCCTCAAAGTACTTTGTAAAGGGGGGGAAGTGGTTGGAATGACCAAATCAATTATGCATAGCCTGGTAATTACAGCAAAGAATTAAAAGATGTTATGTCAGCGATCTCCTATCTTTACTGTCACTGAAAACTGTTTGCCTTTCAGCTTCACACATCCCATATATTTTGCTCTCCATATTTCGATCCAGCAAACCTTAGACTAAGTGATGAAATGTGTGTTTATCTCGTGTACATGCAATGCGTTTTATTGGTGGATCCACCTATTATTTTCAGAGCATGTGTGTGTGTCTGTGTAAGCAGAGAGGTTTAAGTGAAACAATGCTTTTAGTAAAAATGGTGAACATCAACAACACATCTGCTGGCTCAGCTGCAGTTCAGCTGCATCAGCTTTTAGTGTCTCTAACATTCTGATAGCAAGAGTCAAACTCTAGGAAATCAATATGGAATGGTTAGTTTATTTGTATTTTTATTTAAAGTTGGGTTCACAACTACCTGTCTTCTACACGTGCTGCTGTCCTAAATGTGGTAAATTAAAAGGATAAGTCATTCAATGTGTTCATGGTGATTGGATCTTAAATACAAATGTATTTTTATTCTATATTTGGATTTGATTGTTTAAAGTCAAATTAACATTTCACAAAAAACTTAATTGGACTATTTCTGTGACATTATTTTTATTAAAAACATTTACTGAATTCCACAGTGAAAAGCACCATATGCACACCTCTTAAACCTTTTGAGAGAAGTGCATAACTATTTAATCCAAGAGTGGCATTCAGACACACCCCTAAAACATTTGGTGCCACTGGATGTTTTTAGTAATCCCATAACTGGTAGGAGCTGTTTATCTTTTTGACCTGAGTTTAAAAAAAGAATATATCTACAGAAGGAAAAAAAAACCAAAAAGAAATTTTACACTAAATACGCCATCCAGGCCATTAAATATGGTGGTGGTGCCATTTAACTGCTCTAGCTTGAGGTAAAAGAAGGATGATATTGGTAGAAAACCTGACGCAGGGGTCTCAAACTGGTTCCAGAAAGGGCGATGTGGCTGCAGGTTTTCTTTCCATCCAAGCAATGGCACACCAGACTCCAGTCATCTCATCAACTGATTGCAATCTGAATATGATGACTTGATGAGATGACTGGAGTCTGGCGTGCCATTGCTTGGATGGAAAGAAAACCTGCAGCCACATCGCCCTTTCTGGAACCGGTTTGAGACCCCTCTGTTAGAGGCTGCAAAATAATTTGGTTTGGGGAGCTTTGGCTATTTTGCAAAGGAGAAGGGGGGAACTTAGAGTGTGTAGCTGTAAGAATGAGGGGCAGGGCTGGCTCATTGGGTACCTTCTCGGAGGAGTTCAACACAAATGTATTTTATTTAGGGAAAACTGGAGAAAACTGTACCATTTTCCTTTTGCCTCCCATTTATGCTTTACTTTATGTTTGTCTTCTACTCAGCCCACCCCTATACATCAATAAAGAACATAATAGCTTCAGACTGGGATGTAATAAAATATGGGAAGGTTTAGGCACCTTCAAACAATGCAAAGCACATTAAGTTGTCACAGTTTCATTTCCTCTGAGACAGTGTATTTATGCAAAGCTTATTTATTACTGAAACGTGGATTCTAATACACTAACAAATACACATACAGGTGTACATTTATGTATTGCATGAAAACTTCTTATTACCAACTCACGTTATTGTATATCTATAACCTATCACTTGAGTCACTTGAGTTTTCTTCTTCTGTCCTCAATAGGGAAAACTGGACAGTTTCTGCGGATAATAATCTACACTAGTCTAACCTTCCTGACCCTGCAGTGCTTCATGCAGATTCCCTTCAGCTACCTCCCTCCACATGGTAAATAAGAACAGCTTTTTAGCGTGTCTGAACATTTTTAAAATGTCATTTACCTTGGAAATAAATGTAGAATGCATTCCAAACGTATACTGACAATCTTTAGATGAAACGCAACTATTCTTGCACGCTTTTCACCATTAACTTCTTTTTTAACAGTTGCTGGATTCTGGGAAGATTTCCTTTACCATTTAGGAATTGTGAGGTATGAAGTAATTAAGACTGAATTTTGTTATATTGTATTTGTTTATTTTTGGATAGTATACATCTGTGAGCTTCGTACACAAAGTGGATGTATTATGCAAATGTATTTATTTAAAGAGCTAGATGAAAAGAAAAACTGTTTTCTTAAAAAAGTCTCAGGTTGTCCATAATTTATGTATGTTTATCTACTGCTTTGTTGCTCCTCTAAAAGTTTTATTTGCTCTTTTTTTCTTGAAGTGGGATAGTTTTTATTGCCCTCAGTATTACAGAAATCAGGAACTAAATTTTACATTTTGCGATAAATGTTTTCATTCTTTATTTAGGGACAGGAGTTTCCAGTCAGCGCTTATGCACGAAATTATATCCCAAATTGATTGGGGGATCCCTATCAGATAAGTTAAACATGAGAAAGTTGGGCCTATATATAGTTTGTCTGCTTTATAAAAGAAAAAAAGCACCAAATGATGAATATATACACAAAACGAGGAGTGGGAAAAATACCACAACGGAAATAAACAAACTAACTTACAGTATAAGCCAGCCATGATACTACCTTTTTCATTGGGCTTTATGTGAAAGTTGTCATTTTAGCATTTGAGATTAAGAATTTAACACAGAAACTGAAACATAAAACCAGAGACGGGAAAAGACAAAAAATATTAACGGGTTGTTATTTTTTTATGGTTGTCAGATCTCCAAGGAGTAGTTATTGCATACAGTGCACTTAGTGCTTACATCAGCTTGCCTTACTGCACTCCAGCTTTTATTTTTTTATTGACCTTTATTTAATCGGAATATAAGGCTCTGGAGATTTAGAGTATCCTGATAAAAAAAAACACAGCAGATCAATACAGCTTGTGACAACAAGCTGTATACACAACATGCATGAAAATAAAGGAGAACCAACAAGCCATAAAAGACAGAAACTTTGCAAACTTCAAGTCATTTTTCAGTCTTGCATTACTTTGAAAAAACTAGTCATCCACTTTTGTTTGATCAAAATGGTAAGTTGAAGGTCAAATGGGGGCTTTCCTCACAACATTCTCAGGTTTGTGTTTGAAGCTGGTAGAATATTTGTTCAGGATGTCATAGATGTCAGCCTTGTCCAAAACCTGAGACTTTACCATAAATCAAAATTCTTATTTTATCTCCTATAGTCATCTATTCACAACCAGTCTTAGACTGTGAGCTGTGTTTGCTATATTTTGTTCTTTCAGATTCAGTTCGGTTGACCCAGCTAACATTGTGAGACTCTTGGCCCCAGACGTTGGCCTTTTCATCTCCATTCTGTTTCTACTGAGGCTGTGCAGAAAACTGCTGCACCCTGTGCCCCAAGTCAGCCTGCATGAAAATGGGATCCCTCCTTCAGTCCCAGAGGTGTCAGCAGATTCACACACCACCTGATGAAACATTGTGTTTTCTTAATAATCTACAATTATATCCATCCAACATACAGTGGAGTCAGGCTGGTTTTTCTTTTGGATATTGCAGGACGTTGAAACCTCGGACTCAGAGTCAGAGGGAGGATATGAAACAGAGGCCTCGTCTTTTGATAGCTCTGAGGACACCACCCTGCCGGTTCAGTCTGGTCCACCACAGTTTGTCCAGAAGATGATAATGTTTGCAGCTGGTCTGAGGCTGCTGCTGTCAGCGATCATGAACACAGCAGGAAAAGTGGTGGTCACTCTGCTGCTGGGACTGGCAGGTATATTAAAGAGCTGGCATGTCTGCAGAGACGTGTTTTAGCTTTAAATTGTCAAATGTAATGTTTGTTATTTGACAAAATTTCCCCCATCAGCTCAAATGGCATGAAACAGGCAACAGTCTTTGTAGGCACCTTACATCTGCAAACTATGTACTCACTGTAAAATCTGATATATCAATCTCCTTTTTTTCTTAAAATAAGTGCATTTTTTAATCAAGTGAGACACTTTGTCAATGGAACAAGACAATTTGCATTTAAAATAAGTAAAGAAAAAAACAAACAATGCAGGAGTCCGAAGCCAGGTCAGAACAGGAAGAGGCTGTATCAGAGGTCCAGGAGTCCAAAGACAGTTCAGGCAACCTGTTCAGATGGGAACACAAAGGCTCAGTGGTTTAGAGGCAGAACGGGTCAGGATCAGGGAATAAAAAACACTATGGTACGAAAAAAAACCCTCTCACCACTGGCCAGCAAGAACGCACACTAGAACAAGAGCAATAATCAGGGCCTGATGGCTGGGACTGAGCTGTTTAAATAGAAGCAGGAGCAGGTGGATCAGATGAGCAGTGATGATCAACCAGGCAGAGTTAGACAGGTGAATGGAATGAGCAATTAAGCCAGCAGTCAGTGGCAAGATCATGGCACTCCGAGCCGTCCTTTCATCTGTGTGATTGTCCGACTGCATCTTCACGTGTCTGCAGGTATCATACTACCTTCCCTCACATCAGGAGTTTACTTCGGGGTGTTTTTAGGGCTGGTATGGTGGTGGATATTCAGTCGCTCCATCAGCATGCTGCTTTTCAGCTGCCTGTGTGTGATGATGGCCATCTTCAGTGGAGGACACCTGCTGGCTCTGTACCTCTACCAGCTGCCTCTGTCGCAGCAGCTCATCCCACCAGATGATGTATATGCAAGGTAAAAAAAGACAATGAGTAAAAGGATTTCATGTAGATATTGGATTCTGAGGAACCAAAGATTCTTCTCTGCGCTTCAGTTTTTAAATATTTTTAGCTCCTGTATCCTCCTCATTGTATGCTGTAGAGATAATCTTAACTCGTGTTAAAATGGATTTTTTAAACCTAAATTTAAAACTTTGAGTCAATAGCATATAAACAAATATATCATATAATAACTAATCAAAATGTCCTTAATAATTTTATCTGATAAATATCTGCTGACTATTAAAAAGAAAAAAACAACAAACAAAAAAAACATTTAGGATTTTCCAAAATCAAGTTTATGCAATAGTTAATGAGATTCTTGCCAGGACTTTCAGGAAGCAGCAGTGCAAGAAAGTTCCTCCTAATATTAGAGTTCAGATTACAGATGGCAGTACAATAGGAAAAAAACAGAACAAGTGTGTTTAGTTTCAAAGGGCTTAAAGGAGAAAGTAAGCTCTCTCTCTATTGCAAAAAAAATTCTAAATGCACTTAAATTATAAGGCATCCGTTATATGTTTATGTCTTTTATACATTGAGGCTTTTTTAGGTTGTTTATCATTTTTTAGGCCTGAAAAAAGGTATTTTCCAGCATATTAGAATTAGAGTAGAGGATGAACCTTTTACTACTGTGTGTGTTTGGATAAATCCACACTTCTTTTAACTTGTTTTCAGGTATAAATACTCACATTTTATAACTTTTGCCAATCTGTTGAGGTTGAACACGTTACAGAATTATTTTCTTTGTACTGTTATTCTTCTATCTCTCTGGAGGCTGTTTGGTATGATTGGAATGATCCGAACCAAGGGATCCCAACCGCACAGTCTTGGTTTGCATCCACATGTCTGCTGGCCCGACTTCATAAACCCTTTGGTTCTTCTGCTGCTCTACTACACGCTGGTGGCTCTGCTGCACAAATGGGTCCACATCACAGAGGAGGTTAGAAGGGAAATGTTTGGTTTTGTCTGTTTACATTTATGGACATTTCCGCTGTTAAATGATTGGTCTCTTACCTCTGCTGTACACTTTAATGGTAGCTTACTATTATTATAACCTATTGCATATTGCTTTTCTACCACTGCTGAACCTTTAAACAGTGTCGGCATTATATCAGCAGGTTATTAGCTTCTAATAGCCCCTTATCTTTTCAGGATATTTCTGATGATGACAAATCTGAGAGTGTGTTAGAAAGCCCTGAAGCTCCTCCAAGCTTCTCCAGGGTCATCTACATCACAGGAGATAAGCAAGAGGTGACATATTAACATTGTTGTCGCCTTTTAAATAGAAATTCAAGGTCTGGATACATAATCAGTCGGGTTTCTAACTCATAGTTTTTTCTCTTTTAGCTCTTGAGCAGCACAGATGAAGAAACTTACCTTCCAGATGAGGTAAACAGTTCTGCTATCTAAAAAATGTGTAGATGATGAGTTTTGGTCTCTGAATGATCTCAAATAGTAAGAAGCTTGAAATAATAGATTTTTTTTTGTATGGTGCGGTAATAAGGGTTCCTTTGACCAAGCCCAACCTCTGTAACCAACCCAAAACCATAATGTTCCCACTGCAGATGTCCAGTAGGTTTTTCATTTGAAGATGTACCAAATCCATTATACTCAAGCTCCTCACATTATTCTTTAGCTAAATTAGCCAACACACATTCTACATGGCTGTAGCTATTGACTCTGCAGGTAGCTGTTGACTCCTTCATAATAAACATTACAATAAAGAATAAAATACCAACAGATTGTTGACCTTTGTAGTGACCAGTATGGTGTACTGATAAACTGATGATGCTGAAAAGTGATTTGAGAGTTTTGTAGAGCTTTCTCACTCTGAATGTGTTTTTTCTTTTTATCTTTTCAGGCGATGATTTTAATGACTAGAGGTTCCTGGCAGGACGTCCACAGCAACGGTCTTGGATGTCTATTGGAGGGAGCCGGCTACACAAACTGTTACACTCCATCGCTTCACGACGAAAAGGACGCTGATTCATTCGGTAATCGCTGCTCAGTAGATAAACTGGCTCAGGAACTAAGGATACATACAAGACTGAGCAAAAAAGAGTCATCCCTTTTTTTATTTAATTAAAAATCCCTTTGGGATCAATACATTATATTTTAACTGAATTGATTTAAACATGCCATATTCAAATGCAAATTAACATTCATTCAGGTGCTTTTGAAGGTCTTTGAAAGATGTTTCTGGATTTAAGCTGCTTATATCTTATTTAAAAACTATCTGAACATTTTCAGATATAAAAAATAACTCTGACCTATGCATCTTCAGACATAAAAAGACTAAATATGAGTTCAGATTCAAGTTTATTCATAGAGCACACCTAACAAAAATTAACAGAACCCAAAGGGGCTGAACAACTGACAGGCATGACAGGGGACTCCAAAATATCCAAAACAGAAAATTCAGATAATACAGAAACATAGAAAATTGAAGGGACAATAATCACACATTCAAAAAAGTATAGATCAAAATGGGACATACATAAAAACATGGGAGGACATAGGAAGAGTAATGTGAACGAGGAATGAGGAAAGAGGCCATAAAGCTGTAAGGACATAGATAAGAATAGATTTGAAAAGGATTTTTTAAAAACATTTTATCCTTGAAAAATTACAGAAAGTAGCTCTGTCGGACAGGAAGGACTTTTACACACTGTTTATTTGCTGTAGATGTTTTCTGAGACCTGAAAACATCTTTGTTTGTCTGCCACTTTTTATATTATTCAAAAACATAATTTCAATCTGAGTTTTGATCTGTTTAACCTTCAAGAACCATCGGTTTACACCAAATTATTGATCTAAAGACACAAAACATCAAATAATCATTCATATATTTTAAAAGTACCCACCTTTTCTTATTGTTATGCTTCTCTCTCTCGCACCAGAGGCAGAAAGTGACAGAGAAATGGAGGACAGGAGTGAGGAGGTCCCCGAGAGTCAGACTGACACAGTACCGCCCCCCTCAGGACCCAGTGGTCTGATAATCTTTGGACGTCTGCTGCAGAAACACAGCTACGTTAGCGCCCTTATTATCATGATGGTAAAGTACATCCAACAATTCACTGTTCAGGTTTCTGTGATATATATGACTGCTGCCACCAGACTGGTAAACAGCAGAGACGTTTCTGCAGCCGTAGGAAGAAAACCTGTGGTTGTTACAGAGTTTTAATTGCTTTAGTGGTCCCACAGTGGGACTCACACAGATCAGTGGGAATGGAACCAGCGTGCCACTGGGAGAAATAATAAATGAATTGTGTAAGAGGTTGGTTTTAGACCACTCACTCTGCAATGAGTAGATAAACTGCTTTACAGCCAGAGCCACAATGACATGAGATTAGGTATAGACAAGCATGCCTAATAAACTGATTACTTTGTGATTAGCAGCACCTTTACTCTTCATCTTTAAATTTAAATGTATTAAACTGTGACCAGATATTTTCTTTTAAATCTAGGTGTGGAGTATAACTTACAACAACTGGCTGACTTTCGCCCTGCTGGTGTGGTCCTGCTTTATATGGATGATGCGGGACCGCCGGCGTTACGCCATGATGTCTGCTCCCTTCCTTGCCATCTATGGCACAGTCCTGGTGGTCCTGGGCTTCCTGAGTGGGCTCCGTCTGAGCCGAGCAGAGCTGTATCCAGGGCTTCCCTCAGCTGTGATAGTGGACTTTGACCTGAACAGTTACCATCCTGCACCTTGCATTCACCTGGGAGCAAAGGTAAGGCCTGGAAGAGCAGCAAAGAACCAGTAAAGACGTGTCTTCTTAAGACACAAAAATAAAATAAAATTGGTGTAAGAAGAACGGAAATGAACAATCAGCATCATGGGCAACAAGAAACATAGCAGACATCTCAGAGAAAAGCTGATGAGAAGCTTAAAACAGATTTAGGTCACAATACAGTATCCTAAGCCTCCATCTCAAATGTTGAATCCATTATCCTAAAATAGATAAAGTGGCAAACAAACTTTTCTTTTGGCAGCTTTCCCGATGACACTGCACATCACCCTGCAGGCATCACTTTCCCACTGTGAAATAGTGACATCAGTCAATCAGAGAAATATTGAAAAAAATTCATATGGGATACAAAACATTTGGGACTGCAGCAGAGTTGATTGAGCTTGGTTAGATACAAAAAGTATATGCACTGTTTTCCAACTAGACAATAATCCACTCCATCCAAGTGGTGTGTCACATTAAATTGTGATACAACACACTTTCCCCTCAAATTAAAATGTATTCATATTCAATTCAATTCAGTTCAGTTCAGTTCAGTTGAATTTGATTCAATCCAGTTCAATTCAGTTCAGTTCAGTTCAATTCAATTTGATTCAGTTCAGTTCAATTAATTTTAATTAAATTGAATTTGATTCGACAGCTTAATCTATCCAAAAGATAAATTAAATGTAACTCAGTTATTTTTGTTTTGTTTTTTAAAGAGTTGTAGATTTTAAAAGTTATAGTATGCAGGAAGGATAATCTGTAGCAGTCTGTGCTGCACCAAATCTGGGGAAGCTTTTGACTGAAGACACTCTGCTGTTAATAAACAGTCTTCTGAAGAGGAGGCCGAGGATTGTTCATAATTTTCTTTATCTTATAGAGAATTCTTCTCTGTGATTTCATCACCAGGGGTTCCAGGGGAGTTCCCAGAGCAGAACTGACCTTCTACATCAGCATGTTGATCCTCTTTAAGTCAATTTCAGTTTTGATTAATTTGCTGTTTGTTGCTTCCACAGGTTTTTTACACCTTTAATTTCTGGGTGATGTTTCGTCAGCAGCTGGTGGAAAGAAAGGAGGAACAGAGCATGAAGAAGCAATCTCTCGAAGAAATTAAAGTCATTCCACGTAAGTTGACTTATCTTACTGTTATTGTGATAGAAATTAGACAGTTACTGTAACCTTTAAGGCTTGCACCTATCATCTTCACATTATTCTGTTTAGTCAGAATATTTTTTCTTCTCAACTCTTCTTTTATTTCTTTGTTTACCTTCATGCCAGCCGAGGAAAGTCAGGGATCACCACTGATGGGGATGCTAATCTCAGGTGTCAAAGGGTTTCTGGTTAAATACTGGATCCTATTTTGCTGCTTCATGTTCTTCATAGTCAGCTTCTCTGGAAAGGTCTGTAATCAATTCATTATAATATGATAGTGCAGTCTGAAGCCTTCTGGTGGAAAAAAAAAAAATCATTTTCTAAATACTTTTTTTCCCCTAACATTGAATATTATATGTTGATAAAATGAATATCGTGAATCTGATGTTTACACGAATAATCAGGGAAAAGTGTGTGGATAGTCTATGCTTGTTTGTTTAACTCTGCAATCCTGAAAAAAGGTCTGTAATAATTGTTGAGTGTAGAAAAGGAACATTTATTTTTACAGTTAAACTTACTAGCTTCTCTACTCTCTGTTCAGGTGGTCGTGTATAAAATCCTCTACATTGTCCTCTTCCTCCTGTGTGTGGTTCTATACCAGGTTTGTATACCTGATTATTTAGTCACTATTTTCAAAAAAGAATAATCTAATATAATGTTATTCTAGCTCTTCTGTGTTGTATGTTAGTATAGAACTCTATCCTGGGTTTATAGAACAGCTCTCTCCATATATACTCTATAAGTGCAGAATATTTGAAAAAATCTTATTATTGAAATGTCATATTGAAATGCTTCACATTAAAATACAGGGTTGTTAATAGATGTGTCAGGAAAAAAAACCACCCATAAAACAGGTGTTTTATCTAGCTGGTATGACAGGCATGACAGATAATGCAGGTCTAAACACAAGGGCAAAGTTAATATTTTCTGGAAAGAAAAAAAAAAATTCCTTTCCCATTTTTTTGGAGTTCATGTGCTTTCACTTTAGATGTAATTAAAGCTTATTGAATGACTTCTAGTAGGCCGTGGCATCAGGTCTCCTGGGGTGAGAAATTGAATAACAAATAATATACAGTGAGAAAAATAAGTATTTGAACACCCTGTTATTTTCCAAGTTCCAAAGAAAGTCCAAAAACCACAATTTATTTATAATACATCTGCAAATAAGTATTTGAACACTTGAGAAAATCAATCAATTATTTGGTACAGTAGCCTTTGTCTGTGATTACAGAGGTCAAGTGTTTTCACCAGGTTAGCAAACACTGCAGGAGGGATTTTGGCCCACTCCTCCACTCAGATCTTCTCTGGGTCAGTCAGGATTCTGGGCTGTTGCTGAGAAACACAGAGTTTGAGCTCGCTCTAAAGATTCTCCGTTGGGTTTAGGTCTTGAGACTAGCCATAACCTTGATATGCTTCTTCCAAAGCCACTCCTTGGTTATCCGGCTGTTTGCTTCAGCTCATTGTCATGTTTAAATCCTGGAACTTTCCAGTCAGCATCAGAAAACTCAGTATTTCAAAAATTAGGTGAAATCGCATTATGGAGATTCCTTTAAACCAGAAACAGCTTATTCAGTTTGGAAGACTGGGACAAAGAACCTGTAAAGTACAGCGATCAATTATTGGCGGCGAGTTCTGCAAAAGGTGCTGCTTCAAAATTTTAAATGAGGGGAAGCATCTCTTCGTTTTATTTGTTTGGCTATATATGTTAAGCTGGATCAATAATCAAAAGCCAATACTGAACTTTGCTAAATAAGGAATAAACAATACGGATATAAACAACCTTCATCTGCAGAAAACGGATATACAGAGTATTAATGTATACGAAAACGGAGCGGATGAACGATGGACTGGCTGTATCATGAGGAATGTAAGCGAACACTGGTCAATAAACGCACATAAACTCATAGTGCTTTTAGTCTGTTTAGATCGAGACTTAAACAGACTTCTGAACATCAGTGAGTCATCCAGCTTTAATTTGTCAGCAATTTCCTGCAACATGTGTCTGGTTTTGATAGAAACCCTGAAAAGGCCCACATAAACACTCTGTGAACTGTTCTTCAATGCTATTTTTCAGCTAAAAGTATCGATTATGAGATACAAGCTCATGCAATGCATTTTTTTTGTTTTGTTTTTTTGCCTTAGTTTTCCTGGTTTTTCTTTCCCCCTATTAGGTTTCTGCTGACCTTTTAGAGAGACAATAGGCACTTACTGGAAAAAGGCCTAATGGCTGTGAGGATTACATGAGACAAAGCTGTTCCTCTATTTGAGCATCAGCAACAACTCTGGTGTTTTACATACACACAGACAGGGAGCAAAACAATCATTTATCTCCTGTGATAAGCTCTGCACTTATGCACTTAACCGAGCCTTTCAAAAACAGAATGTTACTCCTTTTTCACATATTGGGACAAACCTAAGTGTGTGTTGTTTGTATTTTTTTTTGTTTTGTTTTTTTCATTTAAAATCTGAAAAATTCAACTGAGATTCAATGTTTTGTCGAGCAGCCACTTATGGGAATACTCTGCTTTCCCTACCAGCTTTAATCATCTATAGAAACATGTAGGGTTGGTTTTAGTGGATTTTATTTGGGGCTATCAGAGTAAAATGGTCTGCAATGCATTTCGTAAGTAGAAACATTAAAAGCCTTTTCTTTTCACTTTAACTTCTTTTTTTCTTTTTTTTCTTTTTGCAAACTTGTGTTCAGTTTTCCCCCCAAACACCACAAATATGGGGCAAAATAGGAAAATATTCACAAAGATAACATTTATTGACATTCTTAGTTGTGTTGCACCGATACCGATACCAGTATGGGGCTGGACCCCGATATTGCGCTAAAATAGTGGTATCGGTATCGGCGATTATCAACAAATAGGGCACCGATACCATTTTGAGAGCTAAAAATGGCATCGGCGCAACACTTCTTAGATGCAGGAAGGAATAAAAAAGCTTTATTATTTTCATGCTTATGCTCTATTTTTCTTCACCCTCAGATCCGTTATAATCTTTGGCGTCAGGTTCTGAAGACGTTCTGGGCGGTGGTGGTGGGTTACTCCATGGTGGTGCTGATAGCCATCTACATGTATCAGTTCAGAAGTGTTTCCGCCCTTTTTAGACAGATCATGGGGATGTCAGAGGATGGGTGAGTCTCATCTTTTTTCTACAGCTGGACATAGGTAATTCAAACAGACTTAATGTTTTGGTTTCTATCGTGTTGGTCTTCTCTTCCCAAGACTTCGTGACCTGGGTTTGGAAAGGTACAGCACAGTGGAGCTGTTTGCACGTATTCTGCTTCCTGCTGCTTTCCTGTTGGCTTGTATTCTCCAACTACATTACTTCAACTCTGACTTCCTTACTCTGACTGACCTGGACAACGTACCTATACGGGAGACTTCCAGGTGAGAAAGGAACGGGACTCGGTTTAGAACTCGTACCACACCATGCAAATGCTTCAAACTGTAAGGAACCGGACTTTCCAGAACCCTTGACTGGATTACAAGATTGTCTGGCTCTTTGCAAGCAAAATCGTAGCAAACGAAGGATGACTCAAAGCTACATGCAATTGTACATCAGCCAAAGTTACACTTATCAGATAGTCAAACAAAAAACACATTTTGATGAAAAGTGTAAACATGCTATATTCATTTGACTGCCAAATTTGCTGTTTACCTTGTTTCTCATTTCCTTTTATTCTTCCTTCCAGAGAGGAAGAACTCAGGAGTTCGGTTAATATGATAGCAGATATGTAAGCACCACCTTAATGATCTCCTAAACATTTTATTAAAATAAACAATTGTAAGCATTGTATTGGTATAATGCATTTCCTGTGGTTAGACCATGTTTGGAACTACTATGCTTGTTCTTAGTTCTTGTAAATATATTGCATCACGTTGTCAATATCAACAAGGAGCATTGAAGCATGGTTGATATGATTATTATCACCTTTTTCTGCTTGGGAGAAAAACTGCAGTCTGTAACAAGAATGTTAAATTGCTCAATCTACTACTGGAGGAAGAACTTTGTTGATACAAAGTGAGCTTAATACATTGTCCCATCCACATGAAGCAGCTGTAAAAAACATTTGAAACCTGCTCTATTTAAAACCACTGAAAGTGCTAAAATTGGTAGATTTGCTAATCGCAAGCCAGCCAGGCCTTACTTTTCTCTTCACAGACAACCACAAACACACACAATGAGATGCAATTATGTTTAAGAAGCAACTCAGTTTTTATTGTGGATTTTACACCAACAAGCTGCATTATCATTGTTCTAAAGCAGGCATCCCCAAACGCGGTCCCCAAGGCCCCCTGTCCTGCAGGTTTTAGAGGTTTCCTTGCTCCAGCACAGCTGAATTTAATTGAAAGCTGATTAACAGGCTTTTGGTCTACTGCAATCATTATAACCAGCTGTGCTGAAGCAGAGAAACCTCTAAAACCTGCAGGACAGGGGGCCTTGAGGACAGAGTTTGGGGATGCCTGTAATCAAAAGAAATACTTATTTTCCTACTCCTGGTCTGAATCTCAAACCGCCCCCTAAGCACTAACTTATCAAGTGTCTCTCCCAATGAAGTCACACTTCCAGCTGTGGAAGGGACCTTGATTGAATGTGGGGGGGTATAAATGAGAATGGGACGCCTTCTTCGCTCCAACGGAAAAGGAAATTTGCCCCTTCCTTAAAACAAATGTATACGGTCAAATAAAACAATTTCAAAGAGGAGCTTCCCTTTAGGGATTAATGATGTGTTTTCTCTTAAACCTAATTTGTGGTTTTCTGTCGGTTTGATGAACATCCTGAATTGATGCAAACTCGCTATTTAAGGTCTCTATGGTCAACTCTCCCCACCCACTATGGGAATAGGGAAAGGTCCTTAATATGGCAGACCCTCG